TGACAACTCAATTTATGGACAAATTCTTATGGCCTTCAAACCAAGCAGAAGAGGAAATGTTAAACGTCAGTAGAGATAACAGTTTATGAAATACAACCTGCATGGAGAGCAGGTTGGAACAAACTAAAAGCCGAATACGAGACGCACGTCTGGTGCGCGTAAACGGGTACCCGAGTACCACCGGGCAGATGATGACATTTGCAGGTTTGAGGACTTGGACTGGCAGGTTCGGATTGCTGGGACTGGTCTAAAACTAGACCGAATCTAGCTCAGGTTGTGACCGAACGCGATGGAAAAAGCACCCAGGGCCGAAAATACCAGAGGAACAACGACCGCTGGTGTCTACATGCACGTAGGCACCAAACACGCAACGGAATAGGGCCAATACAATACTTTATGGTCATCGTATTCAGTCAGCAGTACTGGACTGTGCCTAATGAGAACATCTATTAAGAGATCTGATGCAGTGCTCTGAAAACTGCCAGCCATTGCACGAGTATGTACTTTCCTGGAGAAATAAAGGCCCTTGATACCACCAGCGACTAATAGACGACTCAATTTTTGCTCACCGGAATGGGCTTCTTTTCTGCTGTCAAAGCGTGAACTAACTTTATCGATCAGCAATTGAAAGTTGCGGCTGTGTGTGTTGGCCATAGGCTGATCGATTTTTCTATGCTAGCTGCTTGGCGCTGAGCGTGGATTTTGGCGTAACTTGACGGCAATTAGTGTTGTGTTCCGTCCTCACGGTAGATGATGCTGGTAATTCTGCTCCCTCTTGCGGTGGTTTATATGATTCTAAGGCGAAATTCCAACTTTTTCATAAGAGGCGAATGTTCCAGGCGTTCCACATTTCAGCCAAGGAGGACGTTTTCAGTTCAAAAATAACCCGACTGAAGGTTATACGGCTGATCCAATTGAACATAGCACGCGCTTAACTGTCGCTTAGCAGGTTGTAGCGGCTCAAGTAGGATTGGGCTTACAGTGCCACAATCATCAGGTCCAGTCCCGATTAGCAGTATGGCATGAAAAACATCTGAATGAGGAAGTATTCTGTACAAAACATTGGATTATTGCCTTACCCTATAGTGGCTGCTGATTTGATCAGGGAGTATATCTACTAGTGAGCAGGAGAGAGAGAAAGGTCGAGCCTGAAGCTTCAGTTGCTTTTATATGTGTGTCAAACTGCCTCCTAAACGGGCCACATGGTAGATGCGCTGGACCATCACGGAGGCCAGGGCAGAGCATAACAGGCATTTTCAGGTTGCGCTCTCATAACAAATGCCGAAGATGAGCGGAGCGTTAATAGCACGCTTAGGTGCAAGCTCATGAGCCAGCCGCCTTAGCCTTTAGGCTTCTCTCACTCCATGGAATCTGGGTCAGGCTTGGCAACTGCGGCCGTCTGCGCCCAGTCCCGTCCCGGGTGTTCGTGACTCTGCCTTGGCACCGGGCTCGAGCGGGTGAGGAAAGAGATAGCACCGTAGTTTTTAAGCAAAGCTTATACCACTTGAAATTTATCATGCATGATTGACAGTCGTTGCAGTGCCACGCTGTGGAGTACACGTTGGACACACTCGAACTGTCCTGGATGCTTGTGGGATGTGTTGTACTACCCAAGGACCGGTTTTTTCAACCGGACTGCTGTGACTGTTCGCAGACGGTTGTGTTTACGCTGAAATTAGCTGAGTACCTGCATAAAAGCGTATCTGGGATAAGGTACAATGTCTTTGCAAAATGAGACTTCATGGGAAATTGAACGACCTTACGTCACATAAACCATAAAGTAATTAAGCCGGACTGTATAATGGTGGAGTTCGCCTACAGGTCTCAGGAGATAAACTGAGCACAGGTCAAATGACGGCTTTTTTGAATACCTGTTTGAGATACCTACGCAGGGTCAGCCGCTGTGCAAAAGCTAATTGCTCAAACGAGACAGAAGTAGTATTGAGGTGCAATGTTTACGTTTCCTTACCACCAGGTCACTTACTTTTAGGCGACGCCCCTGAACCCGCCGGTAAGCAGAGCAGTGAAGACTTCATCAATGCTCTTCTACCTAACATCTTTCGTGCACCCTTCTCTGGATCTTCGAATGGCGAAAGCACTGAGGCCTGCATCAACGACTTCCTCGAAATTCTCTGCCGACTGATCATTCTGGGCACACTGAGGAGTGGGTGTCTGACCGAACTTCTCCTGACCCCGGACAACCTCTTTTTTGACGGACAACAGGCCGAGGAAGAGAGCACATTGGCAAGGTTGAAGTACATGAAGAGGGGGTACGTAGCGCATATTTTCATACAAAACATGTTGAGACATTCCAATTTGCGTCTCCCCAGAGCCAACAACATCTGAAACTGACTGCAAAGTGATTAAGCAAGTAATATTTGGGGTGAATGTACACAAGTAAGCGAGAAATTAAAACGTTTATGCAATATATTTATATATGTTATAGTATTCCGGCAAAGACGGGCACCCTAGAATAACTATTTTTGGGTTTATTGGCCGTCGCCAGGTAGGATTAATCAACTCTAGTTTAGCCGTTGAAATTGCTGCCGCACTCGAGTTTCAAACTCACGTCTCGCTGGTCAGAGGCAAACGTTCTAACCACTGAGCCACGAGTTCATTGCCTTGTCGGTTGTTAATCGGGAGAATACACTAGTTAATTGCACACCGATCTGTCTTTCAGGATGTACCCATCCTGGTTGATATTGGCGATAATGCTGACCCCAGGTGTTGAGATGGAAAAAGAAGGTAAGGCGATCTCTGGAAAGGATGGTACATTCATCGTCTGAACCACATGACGAACCGGCAGGCAATATCCGACGCGGATTGTCGATAAATGAAGCCAGAGGATGCTGCCGCATTACGCTTCAATCGAATGCCTAAGATCCATAAAATAAACATACACTTACGGACAATCGTGGCACTGAAAGGCACACCTATGTACATGTGGACTAGCTAACTGGCTCGCTCAACATCTGAAGAAGCTGACGGAAGGCTCGGAACATACAGCCGTATCCTCAACACACTTCCTTGAAAATCTCAAAAAACTCAAAATAACCCCAGACAAAACAATGCTATCCTTTGACGCCGTCTCACTGTTCACATCCATTCCTAAAGAATTGGCCATGAAGGTCATCAACGACCTACTAGTGAAAAGGTACGAAGAAGAAGAAAAACCACTAAAAAGGAAACACGTGATGGAGATACTGGAGTACTGCTTAATCACGTACTTCAAATTTAACGGCTGGATCTACAAACAAGTCCAAAGACGCAAAAGGGAACTTTAGAAGTAAATTGAACTCTATTTCCCCAGAAATTCAGTTTACAATGGAGGAGGAAAAGTATGTCCAGGTGTCGATGCAGGAAGTTGGGTTCTACACACCGGAGTGTTTCGAAAAGCGACCAACACAGAGAAAATCCTTTGTTACAACAGTAACCATCCGATGTCGTATAAACGCAGTTGTGTCCGGACACTATTCCTACGCGTCAAAACCCCACTGCAGCACACAGGAATGAGAGTCCCTATGGTAACTGTTCTTCTCCAATGGATACCCACAGGGTTTCATAGACAAATGTTTGCACCGAAGGAACACTAGGACAGACGGGGAACGTAAACAAAAGTCCGCTATCATCCGCACCCTGCCCTACATCAGTGACGTCTCTGAGGCTACTGAACGGATACTGACACCCTAAACGTGGGCCTGGGTCACAGGCCATAGGTCACATCCGGCGCTTAACAATGCAGCCCAAAGGGCGGCTAACCCCTGCGGACATGTCGGGGACTGTCTGTCAAGTGAACTGCCTAAACTGTCCGGCCAATTACTGTGGCATAACGGACAAACAGCTAAAATCGCGCATGCACGAGCACAGCTTAGCCGTGAGGCGAAAAGATGTCCTTTCGCATTTCGCCATGTACAATCTCGAAAATGACCACCAGTTCGGGTTCGACAGTGAAAAATTCATCGGCCGGGCAGGAAACAAAATGGCGAGCGAGGTGATCGAAGCCTGGCAATCGGATGCCAACTCGATCAATAGAAGGATAG